TTCCAGCCCGTCGCCCTTCCTCCACACCTCTTTTCCAATCGCGAACGAGCGTGTCCTCGCGGAAACCCGCGAATCCTTCGGGGTACAAGAAGGCGACCTCGCCTTTGTTCCTAACGCACGGCGAACCAAACGTAACTTTCCCGTTAAAGCTCCATCGAATGTGAACTCGCAGACTATACTAGTTCGCTTGCCTTTTACCCTCTTTTATAGATACTTAAATAGCATACATATATAGAATGGGCGACTTTATCAATTTCATAATGATCCTCGACTATATATTCGAGCTAGTTTCGGACGCCGATCATCTTCTAGCTGACTCGACTGTTGTCGATATCCGGTTCAACCGGTTGGTTGAAGGTGAATCTGATACAAGAAAAATTTTTATAAAGTTTATTTACTCTAATTGCGATAACTATATATGTTTCGCGTAGAAGAAAGCAACCTGTAAAATGTATAGCGTACTAATGTGACAGTGATGTTGTTTGCTAATATGCTACAAAGTAAGAAATGTTAAAATAACAATAATAATAATTATAATTAAAGAATATTAGATGTTAAAATAACAATAATAATAACTGTAATTAAAGAATATTAATGAAAATAATTACAGAAAATGTGATATAGCAAAGACGCAACATATGAAGTTACAATTCAAGGCGAAGTATCAGCATTAATGCTGCTTGAAACCTAAACCTAAACCTAAAAGCTATAATTACAAGTTGGAAAGCTAAGGCTGAAGTGGTTGTTAAAAGAAATTGCAAACTAATAGCTGACAATTCAAATATAGATAATATAAATTAATTAAATAGTAAACAAGTAGAAAGAAGACAGTGATAACAAAAAAATAAAATATGAAGTGTTGGAACAGATACCGTTTGAAAGATATATTTAAGTATAGATATAGATATTGTGTGTGTGGGAAAAGTATTTAGTTATAAATATAGATATAATTTTCAAAAATTATCTGGGCACAGATACAGGTATAACATAGAACTACCTGAAAAATTTAGATATATTTTAGGTACTTCTAACAAAAAGAAAGAGAAAATAACGGAAAGAGAAAACAACAAGCTGCGTAAACGAATATTATTTTATATGAAACTACTTATGTAATACATACAAAAATATTTGGATAATGAAAATTATAATATCATACATATGTCACCGCTATGGACCACGTATTTTATAAAATATCTTATTTTTTGTTTTTATTTTAATCTTTAAGGTTGTTTGCTTGATCTTTATTCAAAACGAAAATTTAAAAGTCCTTTGATAAAGGTGAATAAATAAAAAAACTTAGTTTCAGCTTAATTTCCAACTTATAATGATAGACTGTAAAACAATATTACTCTTACTAACGTGACAAATTACGATTTTTCTTGCATTCATAATAGGTTCTATAGAACTTCTATGCTTGAAATCAATCAGAGGAGTATACGTCACATGACCAGTTTGCCACTCTTATGCTAATATTACAATTGTTGTACAACAAATTCTTCAAGAAAGGACCTCTTTATCCTACAGCCAATCAATAGGCTTGAAATGCTTTGTCATACGACAAATGTAATATTAGCCTTTTCCTATAAGGTTCTTTAGTCAACATTCACTAAATACTAAGAATTAAAATTACCTAGGCGGTGAAGTACTTACACAACGTTGAGAATTAGAGAAAAACAATCATTTATATAACTATCAAATATTAAGTTTCTAATATAATGACATAATATATATATATATATATATAGATAAATACTTTGTATATCTAAACTTAAAAGGTACGTACAAAAAATACCCAAGTATAGGTATCTTGCCTATAAGAATCTAGGTAATGCACTTAGGTACAGCTAAAATATCTATAAGATACTGTATTTAGATACTTTTACCTAGATACGTTTCAACACTGATGTTAAGTAAAAATCGACTGATGAAATAAAACACGAGAGGAAAATGCCATATTTGATCAAAGTGGTTCGATCTTCGTATATAATAATATTTCTTGTGAATTTATACAATTTCCAGTTCAAATAAAATAATATAACAAAATAATGCAATAGTAGCAGCAACAAATAAAAAGTTTTGAAAAAAATAATTAAAAGAAATAAAACTAAAAAAGACATAGAATAAAAAATACAGCTTGTGCAAACGGCTTAAAAAAATTAACTGGTGGATTGTTCAATTTATGTTTGCATAAGCAGTAAATTTGATGACGTACAATTGACGCAGTCATTACACTTAGAAAAAATTGTTTTGGCATTTGACTATAGCACACAATATAATAAGATTAAGATGACAGCAAGTAGAAGTCATTTTAGGAAACATCATAATAATATCATTTGGTGTACTTTTTTTGATGATGATTTTGTATAAATTCTTTACATTATAATTTAGCAATTTTCTTGAAATAGCTTCTCTCTCTCTCTACTTGATATCATCTTGAATTTATTATTATTTTGTGATCTATCTAGATAATCCCAGACAGTATACAATATTTATAAAATATTTATAATACATAGTAAATGCTATGAAAATATATACTTAATAAGACATTATAATTCAAGACATTATAAAAAATATTTATTTATATTTATCATATTAGATGTTTCCGAATAAAATTAAATAATACCTACTAAATATTTATGAATACTTATCATAAATATTCTGTGCTGTTTGGAATTACAAATGGATAAGAATATTTTTATAATTATTACTGCTATAGTATGTTAATAATAATAATTATACGTATTTAAAGTTCTAACAAAAAAATATATAGTTGGTAAAAATTACTATAAATTATAATTAATTATGGTAATTACAATTACTTTTTTAGAGAGAGAGAGTACGTTCGAAGATAGCTTAATTTTGTCTTTCTACAGAAAAAGTACATAATGTTAATTAATTCGATGACATCATTGCATAAAGAACATCCTCAAATCGGAAGAAGCAAACATTATCCGGTGTCATCAAAACGGATGTAAAAAATGAAGCTCGGTAACCAAGCTGAAAATTGTCGGCTCGAATTCGCGTTAATCTTCGTGTTTATCTTCGATGACACCTTAGCAGTCACGTGTGCGCACAGGATGTCTGTATCGCTTTAGCTTAATCGTTAAAAAAGATGAGTCAAGCAAAAATTAACTTCGTTTCGATACAGGAAACATTCTCCAGGTGCCCCTGGAGTTTCACGTTTTCCAAGGAAAGGGGAGATGGGAAAAGGGCATCGGGGATTGCTATAATAAACTAATCACGCGTTTTCGTAAATAAATATATACAAATACAAATACACATATATGAACTTTCTATTTCCCGTCACGAGACAGGGGAAGTGATGTAAAGGGGGCGAATTGTAAGTCCTACGATGTAATCATGTAATACACATAGTTTTGCGTGTTAAAAGACGAACGTAACTTCTGACTAGTTGCGTCACATCTCATCGGTGCACGTAAGAGGCAAATGAGAGATACTTTTTTTTTTATCCTACAGACGTAACGTCACGAAATAAAAATTCTAACACTGATTGATCCCTCTTTTTAAGTTACGTCACGAGGAAATCACATAATGACTTAATTAAGGGAAAAAGAAATGGGCAGTAATGAAGATTAAGATCGAATCTTGATGATTAAATAATCCTGTATATTAGAAAAGTACTGATAAACGCTAATGTGTACAAAGTCGTTTACAAAATATTCAACTTACTTCCGCGTCCATCGGTCGATCGCAACTTACAACATCTAAGAGAATTATTAACTATATGGGATAGTCGCTCAAAATTATTACCAATTCCATATTTTTAACGCTTTCTCCGATCTCTCATTTCTTTGCTTGAAAACTTTTATATTTACAAAGAAATATTGAATCTTTTTTACATTATAATATCATTATAACATTATAATATGTAATACAATAATATATAACATAATAATAAGACATTGTAATATTATAAGATTATAATATTATAATAATATTATAATTTGTGATTATTATATTATTTAATATTATAATTTTTTTCAATCTCTTCAATCTAAAGAAATCCTTTTCTGTCGCTATATGTATAATCAATGTTGTTGAATTATTTCGTTTTCATAAGTTAATAAGTTTAAAAGTCATAAATATAAAAAGACAACTCTATGATTTGTCCATAATGTAAATCTAATACAATTATTACATAATCTAATTACTATAAATTGAAATATAAATAGATTGAGCAAAATAGTTTCAAAAAATACAAGTAGCAAGTTTAATATGCCTCTAAAAGACGTCTATCCTAAGATGAGAAGTTAATTAAAGGCACTGACTGCAATCCATCCTGACCACATTCTGACACATTATCAAATTTGTAATGTTAGAAATCTGTAAAATATTCTTAGTAGTCTTTTTTCAAGATTTGGCACTTAATTCTTCCCCTTATTCCTAAGTAGAACGATGTCTATGTAATCGATAATAAATTCTTTCTTTCACGTCTTGGAAAAATGTCACTTGTATCTATCTAGAAATAATTATTTATAGTTAAGTGGAAATAAGGAAAAACGAAATACAATCGAGCGACTTTTCGATTACACAAGATCGATCGGTAGTAATAACGTAACATTTATACTTTAGGAATAATGTGTCGTTACTCAACGTAATATCACGGTTGGTTACTCGCTTACAAATCATTATGAGTCCAAATGCAATTATAGAAAGAAAGTTTCAAAGTCCGCGACATTATATATGTCATATGTATCAGAAATCTGAATCCACGTGAGTTCGCTCAACCTTGCGAAACCACGAGTCAATCACGCGTTTCGTCGAACGTAAGTGATACGACATCACTCGCGAAAATTACCGCTCGAATCTTCAATATTCACAATCCGGAAGTAATGCACATAAAAATTTCATCATGCGTCCAAGTCCATAGACCGTGAACGTCATTCGTGTCCAAGCTGACTTTCACCAATGAAATTGGCTGTTCGATTTCTTTTCATAAATTATCGAAATTATATCTTTTAATGAAGAATCGGCAAGAGAGAGAGGATCGACCGACGATCATTTAATTAATCAAAGCGGAAACGCATTTTGAAAAATATTTACACTCAGAAAATGTATTCGCTCGGTAGGAACTACTTATGATCTTAAGATTATTACAATACATAGGTTGCTTTCCAATTGTAAAATCACTACAAACTTTCGTATACACAGCGACACAAGTTGTATCAATTATCGTAATCAGTGACATATATCCGTACTCAGACCAAAGGCTACCAGTCGATTGTGTAAGTTTGTGTTTTTGTGACAATTACATATTACTAATCACGGCAGCTATAAATGAGATTGGAAGATATTGAGTGACCTGCATTTTTGCTTCTCATTCAATACAAGTGGAAAAAGCTACTTTTAATTTAACTCTATCCTTGCCTAAACCGTGTACATACAGCGACACATTTGTTCTAACTGAGTCATGCACAATGCTATACTTTATTCTTGTGTACATTTGTGTTAAAATGTGTTAAGCAACTGGAAAGCACTCATATAGTAATTGAAACAATTACATAAAGTATATATACAAAAAAAAATACATGTCGCAATCGATCGTTTGTTATGTCAGTCGTAAAATACGTAATGATTTCATCAGTCTTTTGGTTTTTATAAGGAATTGTATCGATTTTTACATTCATTCACGTTGCCTACCGATCAGCTGAACATACCTATAGGCCCTTTTACAACCAGCCCCATGTATCAACAGATTTTCTTTAACAAGATCAAATTGTTTTTTGTTGAGCGTCAACTTGCTTTCTTTAATCGCATCTATAATGCAACTCTCCAAGGCAGTCTCGTTTAAAGACTCATAGAAAAAAATTTCAACTTCGATATTTTTATCGAGAAAAGCGTTTTCTATTACGGTTGCATCGCGGAGCTGATTTCTTATTCGTACATTGAGATCAATTAAATCTTCAAAATTGAAAATGGCCAGTACGGTCACAAGGCGATCCTTATACGTGTCTTGACGGGCCTTTAGAAAGTTTACGACGACCGCCAAATCACGTTTTTTCAAATTTTCCAGGATGATTAGATTCGGATATAAGAGAGGAAGGTTGATGTCGTTCACGGCTTCCAGTGGCGGGAAATACTGACGAATAGCATACTTTCTCGGGAAATTACTTCTTATGATATCTGCCGTGTATGATTTACCGACGCCTGTGTCACCGAAGAGGACTATCACCTTGAAGGAAGGTAGATCACTCTGAAGATATTCACAGAATTTCTGCAAGTTGTTATGACCGTGAATCCGCTTTTTCAATTCACCAACGGCATTCGCAAAATCATTGCTATGCTTACGAGTCTCCTGATTTTCATACAAGTACACCGAGATAATAGTCACGAGTATCGTAGATAATAATAGTACAAACATAGAACGTTTGCATAAGAAAAAATTCTTTTTCGTTTTCGGCGGATGTTTAGCTTGAGGATCCTCGCGTTCGTCGCAGCTATTAGAAGTAGAAACGGCAGACGAATCAGACGGAACAATCGGACGGAGATTGTCTAATACATCATAATCCTTCCATTTCTTCATAGGTGTCATATTGTCTTCGTTCACAGGATTTGAGCCGTGTCTCTTCTCAGGTTTTTGTTTCTCAGATTTTATTTTCAATTTTGGGCGCAAACTAGTTTTCTTTGAAAAAATAACAGATTTAATTTTAGCAGTCTCTGGTTGATATGCAGTATGTTCATCTGCTGATTGACTCGCTGATTCTGCTTCAACTTCCATATGTTCCAATTGATCTTTCATTAGTGTAGTGTTTTTTACGAACGATCCTTGATTACATTGCGTGCTCCAGTTCAGGTTTTCAATACCGTGATCGTAGTGAGGAAAAACCCATGTACTCATATGGTCACTGTTAACTTTCCACATCCTATCTTGGAACCTCATGCTACAAATAATATTTTATAAATTCCATTTGGCATTATATTTAAGTCATATTAACTACATGTGTCATGTTCAAGTTGAATTCAGCATTAATTTTATAAATTCAATATATATTGTACACTGCAGTAATTGTGTACTATAGGAGAACCATGACCTTATTTCGATATATGTTCTCAAGATCATGTCTCTGAGTGACCTCTAATAAATTTTAGTCATCGTTCGTTATTTGTTAAAAAATTATTAATAAAATAAATAAATATGAAATATTTACATATATAAACATATTTATCTTAACACACATATACATATACATATATACACACATATATATACAAGATGTCCCATTTTAAACGACGACCTCAAATTTCTCTTGAACAGTGCGTTTTAGAGAAAAATGTTTCAGACAAAAGTTGTATTTATCTTTCACGACTTTATCCTATACTTCCCTCTACTTATAAAACGTTAAATACACATTGATATTATCAATTTTATTTGTTAACAATTAATTCGAACACTTCTTGACAGGCAAGAGGCATAGGATCTTACTTTGTTATAAAATATCTATATCCCATTTTGACATAAAAAAAAGTATTATGTAAATTATATAGTAGAATATATGAATTATATAGCAGAATATATGAAGAACATATAATAAAATATACACCTTCTGTTCAAAAATTACGTTCTACTTATAAAAATTGTTTTAATGAAATTTTTTAATGAAAAACGAACAACGAGTAAAACTTGTTGGAGGTTATTCAGTCATGACAATATACATCAAAGTCAAAGTCTCCAGATAGCCAAGCGTGATGTAGCGTATTGTGCAAACTAATGCATTGCATATGTTGTTATATATTTGCTGTACATTTGCTGACAAATAGGACACATTATAAATACAATAACATGACTGCTTATATATGTAATCAGTTGTCGAAATTTCTAGAGCAAACTGTGAGCAATGATGGTACATTATGATGTTGGCAACATGTTAGCAACGAATAATTAATCGTTCCGTCTTGAGCTCATTGCTAACAAAATGCTGACAATATGACAACACTAGTTGTTGTCAAGGATATTCATGCTGACATATTGCCATCAATTTACCATCGCAAGAATTTGAATTCCATTGAGTTCAACGCGACAGACATAATGCTGTCTCATCTTGTCCTGAGTTTGTCGAAATTGGTTGTTGCAACATGTCAGCAAATACGCTGCATTTGGCTATCTGGGTCATGAGGGTTGATTCCTTCATAGTACATAATTATCAAATAAAAAAAGTACCTTAATTCTTCGTTAATCCCATATAGTTCGCAGCTGGATGGTCTGAATAAAGAATTGTCGCTTGTGTTATATTTGAACGGTTGCTCGTTGGACGGCAACAATCCAGGCAAAGTATTTGATCTAACTCGTTCTGTCTCAGATGAACAATAAATTTCCCAAGTATTTGTGAAATCTTTATCCTCCTCCATAATATCTCGAAGAAGATCTAAGGTTTCCTGTGAGAAAGACACAGCAGTAAGATATAACCTACAAACTCTACAATAGCACGTCTACATTTATCTGTGTCCCTCGTTTTTGCCCCGCAAATTGGAACATTCCGAGGAATCTTTAGTTGAGGAATTTACCTGATTCCATTTTTACCTTTATAATTTGAGCAAAATTGAGCAAAAGTACTCGAGAATCAGGATATCAATCACACTCGGTTATCAACGTATGAATAAATTAAGACTCGATGAATGAGGAAAATGAGACCAACGCTTTTTCAACTCGAATTCGAAATGCAATTATCACAAATATCACGACTGAATTAAGTGTTAGCCGATTAGCTGACATGTGGCTTCAGTCCTTAGATCACCTTGTCCTTCGTCCTAGCCTAGATACTTAATTGTGTACAGATACGCGACGCCAGCAATCTAATATCTACCACTTCGAGCTGTCGTGAATGAAAAAATTATTGAAAATTCCTCAATCATCCAATTATCAAATTACACGTATCTCTTCTCACAGCCTTTAAACAGACTTTTTTTTAATGTAACGATCAAAGTGGAAAGGTCAAACGTGTCCGTTTTTTTCAAGCTACACTATGTTGTACTATCTGCACTCGCGGACCGAACGGTGTAAAGCAAACACGCCCGAAAAGGAAAGAATAAGCTGCAAGCCATCGGGCGTCGCCGTCTCCCTGATAAAAATTTTTCACATTTTTTCAAAAATTTTTAGAATTTTTAAATAATTTTATAATTTTTTAGAAAATTTCTGTTTATACAAATTGGAATACTTCGGAATGAATGCCGAAGTCTGCATCTTTTCTAGAATTCTTATCATATATGAACGCTGAAATATTCTTAGATTTCTAAATTTTCTCATTCTAAGGCCGGTATTCATAGTCGATTTTTATTTCAAGACCGTCTTAAGTAACGTCTTAAGACGCTAATGCGGCCCTCTGATTGGTTCGTGACACCTCAAGGCTGAACTTACGACGATCTTGAATATAAGATCTGACTATGAATACCGGCCTAAGATTTCTGATAAAATCTTAAAAAGTCTAAAAAAAAAGTTTAATGTAATTTTTTAAAAGAATATAGAATAAGAAATCTTACAATATAGAATATTTCAGAATTGATATATACAAAATTCTAAGAAAGGGTGTAGTCTTTTTTTCTCGGTATTTCTGAAAGGATGTTCCAATTTGCATAAAAATTCAGAAAAAAATTTCATTTAGGTCGGCCCTGACGGATGCAACGAAACCGAGGATACGTTTCGATATTCATGTATTGAAAATCTATAGTGTACGTAACGTATACTATAGATTTTCATTATCGGCAGTGAATATCGGAACGTAGTCCATAATACGACTACAGGATTCGCATAAAAAAAAAGAGAAAAACTTCGACGTTTTTCTTGATCGGTCAGAGTAGCGCGCTGAACCTAATTAAAATTCAGACGCACGCGGTCCGATTCACATGTTCCTTTTACTCCAACAACAAGTCACGATAACGTCAAAATGACGTTAAAATGAATCCCGATTGATCGAAAAGTGACTTTTTATAATCTTTGGAGCAATTTTAGTGTCATTTTGATATCATCGTGACTTTTAATTGTTCCGTTTGGCTACAACGCTGCGGATCGCGCGAAGTATCAGCGGTCCAGTCCGGTAGTTCCGGTCGTACCAGTCAGCGAAATTGCCTGAACCACCTCAGTTCCTGCTCGCGTATCGACGAGCAAAGGCGAAGTGATTCTCTAACGTGGCGCGCGCCGTCCTTCCTTGTGATGTGACACCCGATGTAGTGATCGACGGTGCGGCAGCGAGAAGAGCCGAGAGAAGAAAATGCAACGGCCAAGCGCGGTCGTCCTAGCGCGCGTTTGCCTGCCGCTTCTGCTACTGGTGGCCGTGGCAAGCGCGAGGATCCACAAACTGGACATACGGGTTGGTTACGTCTTCCAGACGGCGCCGTCCGTCATTATCGTTATCACGCGCTTTGATTGCTACTTAGAGAAAGAAGGTGACACGCGCGAGCTCGTGGCAGTGCGCCTCTACTATGACGTATTCATAGTCGATTCTTATATTTAAGATTATCTTAAGTGCAGTCTTAAGATGTCACGAACCAATCAAAGGACCGTATTAGCGTCTTAAGATCCCTAATAGCATAGATCTCAAAGGGACGTTCCAAAGAACATTCAGAGGATATCCCTATGTCCTAAGAACGTTCGTCAGAATGTCCCTCGAATAAAGTGTGCTATTAGGGATATTACTTAAGACAGTCTTGAAATAAGAACGGACTATGAATACCGCCTCGAGTCACTTTATCGAGTGGGTAATTTTCAAGCGCGGTACAAAATAGGTCCTGCGACGGGAAAATCGAAGGACATTGCGATACGCTGTACGTACGCACATATAACGGCCATACGAAGCCTTGGGAAACGAGTATCATCGACAATATCGTGCGCGCGTCGATAATTCCAGAGCGTATCGTATATTACGTTGCTGTACGTAGTTTACGTCATGATTGTCGGTTCTATCAACTGTCCGGTTTGTAACTGACGATAGACAGCTGATAGACACGTCTGACTGACGCTTATGCAATGGTTCTTTCCGAAGCAAGAGTCGTCCTAGGTAGCATAAACTAACGTTTTTTGTCTGGGTCTTAAAAAAAATCCTTTGCACTCAAAGAAAAACATAGTGGTAGCAACTGTAAAGGTGACAACTACGTAAATTTTATATATAGAATTGATGTACATATTATTTATAGTTAAACAAACCATTGTATAATAATTGCAACTATAAAATAGTTTGCTTAACTGTGTACATTTAATTTTACATGTAAAACTTATATAGAATTTTGTTACCTTTACAGTTACTATATATTACTATTTTTTTTGTCCGAGTGCAGAGGATTCCTTCAAACAACTACCTGGAATAATAAGCTGACATAAAGATTGTCTGGACAAAGCTGACATTTTTTTGTCTAAGATGGTCGTAGAAGAAATCGTCTGTACTTAGAGAAAAACATAGTGATAGCAACCTAACTACTATAAAGATAACAACTATACAAATTTTATATATATGTAGAATTAATGCACATACATTAGTTAAAAGTATTTCATATAATTATTACAATTATAAAATAGTTCGTTTATAACTATGTACATTAATTCTATGTAGAAAATTTGTACAAAAAATTGTTATCGTATATTATTCATAATTGCTACTACTATTATTTTTTTTTGAATGAATAGGATTCCTTCAAACAACAATCATCCTAGATAGCAAGCTGACTTGAAGTTTTTTATCTGAGATAGTTCTAAAGAAAATTCTTTGCTATGCACTTAAGGCACTCAATTGAGAAAATGATAGTGGTAGCAATTAAAAGTGACAACTCTCTCTACAAGTTTTATATATAGAATTAATGTACGCACACATATATTAATTCTAGTTAAACATACTATTTTAAAATAACTACAGCTATAAAACAGTTTATTTAGAAATTATGCACAATTCTATATATAAAACTTGTATAAAATAAAAAAGATTGTTACCCTTATAGTTGCTACCACTGTTTTTTTCTAAATGCAGAGGATTCCTTCAAATAACAAATTATTTTATTCTTGACAAGGTTTATATATATAATTATTGTACATAATCGAACAAACTTTATTTTTGCAATTAGGGCTGTTACTTAATTTTGACAATTTTGAAGATTGAAAAGCTTCACTGTGTGTGTGGAAGAATGTAAATCTTCGAAAAATATATTTGTACCAATAGAAAATAATGAAAATATATTTGTAAATGTATTTGTATATTTATAATGAAAATGTATTTGTTACTATTCACTATATTAAATTAATTATTATAATTTTGATTCTCTCTTCAAAGTTTTGAAAATCGAAATTTCGAAAGTTCGAAGCTTTAAAGCATTAAAATTTCGATCTTCGAAAATTTTAATATTGAAGCATCGAATCTTCCAAGTTTGAATGTCGAAACCTTCGAAATTACTAGACCTAGAGTTTCAATAATTATAAAATAGTTTATTCAACTATATATATGTACATTAATTCTATATACAAAATTTGTACAATTATCACTTACGTTTTTTTCTCTGAGTGTGGGCAATCGCAATGCGCACTGTTACGGATTATTTTAATTTGTTACATAGTATGTTCCTAGAAAAATTTTCCAGAGGTTTTCCCATAAAGAGGAAAGCCGAAGAACGTCGACGTGCGATTCGTCGGATTCTTCGCACATATCTTCCCCTTTTCGGATCTTCTATCGAAGAATCCTTTGACTCTCTCGCTCTCCCTTTCCATTCTTGGCAGAATGCGTACCCGTTCTCGCTCACGGAAGTGTCATTCGTATTTCAGAAGGACGGCAGGCACTACATCACCCTGAGTACATTTGGCTTCTACAAAGGTGGCATTCTGACCGTGAATCTTACGAATTTCAAGTTCGAGCCGGCGGACGTCAACAAAAAGCTGACACCGGAAAGCGCAAGCAAGACCGTGGTGAGTTGCTAATTATAATCGGCTCGTAATTTCCGCAAACTACATACACATCTTGGTGCGTCCGCGGTACATTGTAGAGTCATTTGGATTTCAAAAAATTTGCAAGAAATTTTCAAGGCAACGTTTTTTTAAGAAAATGGAGAAACAACTCTGGCGGAAAAAAAAATTTACAAAAGGTACAGAAAAACTACGTAAATTGAGATAAGAGAAATTCTTAGTTTTTCCTAGATATTCGTAGTGGGACATAGGACAGTATTCATAGTCCGTTCTTATTTCAAGATTATCTTAAGTAATGTCTTAAGATGCGGCCCTCTTGATTGATTCGTAACTTCTTAAGACTGTACTTAAGACGGTCTTGAATATAAGATCTGACTATGAATACCGGCCATAGATATGGCGTTGTTTGAGGAGGATTTCCAGGTTTTTTCAAACAAACAATATCGTTCTACATTCTACTACGAATATCTATGAAAAAGTAATAATTTTTAAAATCTTGTAGTCTTAATCTATGTAGTTTTTCGTAAAAGCTTATAAAAGCTCCGCCAGGGAAGAATTGTCCTGTGACTGTAAATGCAAGAAAATCAATCCTGATATAGCTCTTTTATTTTGATGTTGATCTTATTGCAATATTGTCTCAGAATTAACGATAATTTTCCATTTAATATTATTATATACATTAATCACTTTAAGCTTTAATTGAGAGATAGAAATTGCAACAATGCGATACATCGCTCTATTGTACAGCAACAGACACCTGTTTCTGTCTTCCGCACTCA